TTTTTTTATTTTGCTTAGTAGAGTGTGTTTTTTGTTGTGTTTGTGTTTTTTTGTTTTTGTTTTTTTTTTGTTTTGTTTCTTTTTTATTTTTTGTTTTTTTTTTTTTTTTTTTTTTTTTTTTTTTTTTTTTTTTTTTTTTTTTTTTTTTTTTTTTTTCTTTTTTTTTTTTTTGTTATATGTGGTATGTATATGGGTTGCTTATTCCGACTAGATAGACAAACATTTCGTCGAGCATGTTTTCGTCTTTGGTGGGATCTGAGGGGGCCACGCCGGCCTTCCTGGCTTGGAGTATCTGCCGGCGTAGGACTAGATCCATGGCACACGTATCGGCGGCGTCGTCTTCAAGGCGGGCGACTTCTAAGCTCTTATAGCGTTCGACGGCCGTTTCCATGGCGCGGTGCATCTCGGCTTTGACGACGCGGCGGAACTTGCGGTACCGTGGTGTGTATGTCTCGAGCTTTTGTGCCCACTTGGGCGAGGGAGTGTTACCGTTGCGCGCAATGCTGGTCATGATGTAGGACACCTGTTCCTTGAGAAACGAGCCAATCGACGGGGCTTCGCCGGAGGACGCCTTTCCTGCCATCTGGTCCTCCAGCGTCTTGATATCGTGCTGTATAGTGCCCGGCTCCTCTCCAACGATGACCGCCCAAATGGCGTCCAGAGCCGCGTCCTTGAAGTCGCTGTGGACGTTGAACGCCTGATTTTTGAACTTCGTGGATGATTTCAGGCGCCATAGCTCAATCAGCTCGCATGTAGACTTGTGGATGTTGGGAGCGGCAACCCTTCGCAAGAAGTCCATGCTCATGGTGTCGGCCCACAACCGTTTCTGGGCTTTCAGCGCCGGTGTCGTAAACTGGGAGATCGAGGGCGCGTGGGAACATGGGGCCCGAAGATGTCAAGGGCTGTTTGCCCCTTATCAAACTCCTTGTTACGGCGTACAATGATGTCTTCAATCTCGCGGGGGTCTTCCAGGAGGATAATGGGCTTGCGAAAGCCAGGGAATAGAACTTGGGCGATTGGGGTCCCCAGCTTTTGGGTGGTGACGGTGAAAAGTGCGTCCGAGATTTCGTTGGTCTTTTGGATGATGGGAGCGAAATCCATCATATCGCCCGTGATACGCCTCGCGGATGCCTCATTGTAGGGAATACCCGGATACGGTTTTGGGTAGAGCTTCCGCAAAACTAAAATGAAGCTGACGAGGGCACCACCCAGCAGCAGTCCGAGACGCACTGAAAGTGAATCCAACATGTTGCTGGCGTTCTCTGTTTTTGTTCCGTGTTTCGTCAACGGTCCCCACGTTTAACGGGGGGTTGTTGAAAAGGAAAAGGGTGATCTTCGGGAGAGTACTTTAGGATATCTCACATCAACCGGTGGGAGCACTTCTAGCTTAAAGACGAGGAGCTTTTTATTGACCGCCCAGACCACCGCCAACTGCGCCGCGTTTAACAGCTGACGGATACCCCTGTCAACAAGTTATTGGGGGCTAAACCCGGGATATTGCATCCTCTTCCACCGAACTAAAGTCTTACATTTACACCACAGTTCAAATCTGGTTGGCTCACGAGCCAGTACCAGCGGAGCAACAGGCAGCCGATTTCGCGCCGCAAGACTTTGTGGTCGGATTCGAGAGACCCTTTCGGATTGACGCGTGGTTTTTCTTGGCTTCAACATGGGTCTTGCACTCTCCAGGGGAAAGTTCCCGAGTCTTGTTGGAAATCCAACAGCCAGAGTAGCGATACTTCTGAACAGGGCGCGCAACGCAGTGCAAGCAAGGTCACTGATACGAGGCTTCAATCCGTGATGCAATTGTCTGACAGTCTGATTGATGTAACTGGAAGAAAGGAGATCCTCTGTGCCCTGAGAAACGCTGCATTGGGCCCAGTCTGGTGGGCCCAATAAGCCCCTGTCATTGACCCGCCGTACCGTATCTTCAGCCACCCGTTTTGTGCAACAAGTCTTAGCATTCTCTGGGAACGACCATCTCCCTGGGCTCAACTTGCGTGGGTGCTTGTTGAAACCGTTTTCCTGAAACGCCGCCTATCCAGGAGCTTGACGTTTAAAATTCAAGAAAAGATACCGATGGGCGGAGCATATTGGGCAACAATGAAACAAAGTACCACAGGAACGGTTAGCAGTAGGCCGCACCCCCAAGACCTCTTCCTTTCAAGCCCCTAAGTAGGTAAAAAACGTTCCGGATGCGTCCACCACAAATACACACTAGATAGTGATCCGTTGAGCGCCTTTGAGTTGTCAGGCGCACTACGGCACTTGTTCGATTGGATGCTCCCTTTGTCCAGGTCAGGCTTTTTTGACACACAGCCCAACGTACTACGCGACCAGTGTTTTGGGAGATCCAAAGGTGAAAATAACCCCTCTTACCACAACCCAAGACGAGCCAAAACCCCAAGCCACCGGGCCAGGCCCGGGAGCAACGCCACTATCATGGCATCATTTCCCGAGAGACAAAAGCGTTCCAACTTCCAATTCCGCACATACCGTACCATTGGGTCACAGCTGGTCAATTACCAGTCTCAGGCTTACCTTGACTTCCCCTTCCCGCAGCCAGGTACGCGCCCCCGAATTTCTCGTCGCCCAACACTCGGGGGCATTACGAGGCATCCGCCTGCAACTGCGCTGCAAAGGTCGTTTTTGCTAACAGCTCTGTCTAGGCGTGTATCGCGGGGTTCGAAAAGGGGAGGCACTCTTCCACAGCGAGTATCAGTACCCAGCAAGAGGCCCAGGAGACGTTATCAGGGTGGATCCGCGCCCAGCTGGCCTGTCGGCCGCTCGCCAGCGCCTTCGACGGAAGCTATTACCTCGGCGGCTTCATTGGTCGAAAGATCTTGGCTTTGGAGGCAATGGACTGGCCAGTCTCTTCTTCCTTTCTGACGGCAGTCCCAACAGCCGACGACAGTATTTCGTCGCCAAGTGCAACCTTGGGGGGGGTCAGGACGTCGACGAAACTTTGCGTCACGAAAAGATGACGACCGACGTAAGTCACACCAACAACTTCCCAAAAGCGGTGAAGAACTAACATTCGTCGGTGTAGGAATTCCAGGATGCCATGCATATCATTCAGACGCGCAAGATCCCCCCGGTGCAGAACCCACGCAGTTCCCGCAGGCTGCGGGACCGGGAGGGTCCTCAGGCTTCGCGCAGATGGACTGAGGCTGACCGCGATTTGAGGGGGGCCATGCTTCTCGAGTACTGCCAGCGCGGAAGCCTACACAAGGCCCTTTGCGTCTCGGATGCGAAGAAGATCCACTTTCCCGAGCGAGCACTCTGGCACATGTTCCATTGCCGTACGTCGAGACCCCGGTTGTCTATCCTGTCATGCCGCCACCCCTCGTCTTGCCACTTCTAACCCTTTTATCTCTTGAATAGTCATTCAAGCGCTCATCGCCATGGCCTACCCGCCCCCACGACATGGAGACCTCTATGACGGTCTACTCCCTCCTTTCATGGAAGAGATTCCGCAGGATAGAGAAAAGGCCAGATGGGTACACTTCGACATTGACCCCCACAATGGTAAGAGTGACATGTTGCAAAACAGGCGCCTTCGTCTTTCGTTCTCCCATCGATACAGTCGATGAACCCCGGAAGAAGCTGCTAATCCTTGTGATCAACAGTCCTCGTGCACAAAAGCAAGCCCGGTTCAGATCATCCGCTGATCCCGGCTCTGAAGCTGAGTGATTTCGGACTTGCTCATGAACTAGACGAGCGGAACCTGACAGACAAGTAAGTCAATCCCACCATGGTTTGGTCAACGAATACCAGCTCACCTTTGCGTGTCACAGCAACCACATGCTCACGTTCAGGGGCTGGGCGAAACACTTCTTCTTTACGCCGGTATGCCCTCACATAGCCAACACCGAGGTGACTCACTGATGACTCGGCTACAGGAACAATTCACCGGCGAATGGGACCATATCCCCATCAGCCAGGGGCCGGGAACGACCTATCCGCCGCCCCGGGTTGCCGGCAACTTCTCCTGGAAAACCAACCTTTTCCAGATGGGAGCTGTAAGTCATACTTACGTCCTGGTTATTTACAACACCCGTGGACCACGCCCCTCACTAACACCTCCTTAGGTCATGGCGTGCCTCATTACCCAATGTTACGTCCCGACACCTCCTTGGCCCATGTGGACATTCATCCCCGGGCGTGCTCTAGACCCCGAGTACTACAGCGACTCCCCCGAGGAAGACAATGCCCCTGCCCCTGCCCCCGGCCCCGCCCATTATAACGGCGACGACTACGACGACGAAAACGAAGAACAGATTCCCCCCCACCACGGCCACCAAACCCACTACCCAGCCCCGCCATCCTCCCCCTCCTACGCACCCCCGCCACCCTCCCCCCCTTACGCACCCCCCCTCTACTACGACCACGCCGACCACGGCTACCCCTTCTATCCGCACCCCAACCCCAACCACTACCCGCGGCAAAACCACGACGACCTCCTCCCGGACGGCGCGCCCGTCGGCGGCAGCGGCTACATCCGGGCGTGGTCGTACGGGCAGTACCTGTTCAGCGACGAGGACCGCGGGTCGGACGCGAGCGAGTTCGGCCACGTGTCGGTGCGCCTGCGCGAGCTGGTCGCCTGGTGCATGACTGACGATCCGGCCTATCGGCCGAGTCTGAGGTGGTTGGAGAGGGAGGTGCGCGAAGAGATTATGCGGAGGTATGGCGAGGAGCCGGATGGGGGGTTGGAGGGGGAGAGTACGCGCGAGGTGAGGGAGTGGATTAAGACGTGTTTGGATACGCCGGTGCCGAGGCAGCCAAAGGGGCAGGCTGCGGGGGTTGGCGGGGGCGGTGAGGGTGGTGAAGGGGGTGGTGTGGGTGGGGGTGGGCAGGGTTAGAGTCTGGCATTGTGTTAGGGCTCTCAGCATCAGAGGGCACGATCATCTAGGATAGGTAGGTAGTCACGGTAGTAGAGTGTGATAAAACTTGTTCTTGGTGGCGGCCGGGCGCAACACTTGGAGCCCATTGGAAATGGGTTTGTTGTTCATATTTATCACCTGACATACAGTCAGATGTTCTAGAAGTGGCCCATCTGCTGGCGAGATGGATAATTGAGGCATATCCAGATACAAGCTCTATTTCCGGACCGTAATTATTATTATTATTATTTCCTACACCGATATGCCCTGGGGCGCGCCGGTCCTTCTACTGCTATTTACAAAGGAAACCGTGCCGTATAGGCCGGATAAAAACCTCTGTCTACCACTTTGAGACAACAATCTATGAATCCGTCATACTGCAAAAGAAAGGAGGCCCTTTGCCGGCCTCCGGGCCCTCTAGCCCTCCCCATCCACTGTTTCTAGCTCCAGCCTTCTGGCCAGCCTATACTCCAGTAGCCGGCCAGAGTCCATCAGCCAGCCAAGGACCTTCCTAACAAATCTTCTGCTCCGGGCACCTACTCCCCGTAATACGGTTTGTAGGTCCCGATGTGACCGAATCTCTCTGCCGTCCCACGGCCTTTGTAACGGCGGGTCGGGGCACCAAACCACCAAGTGCTCCACTGTCTCCCTGCCCCTCCCGCACTCGCAATAGGGGGGTACGGACCTCCGGGACTTTCACCCTGAACAGGTAGTCCCGGAGGCCTATATCCCCGATACGGGCCTGGGAAAGGAGGGAGCTCTGCGCCTTTGTAAGACCTTCGTGTCTCATCAGAGCTTTGTCGGTAAATAAGAGGGCTGGGGGGTCTTCGTCGGCTATCCTCCTGTTTAATACCCTCTGTCGAGTAGTACTTTGTTGACTAGCTCTCTGTTGTTCCCACCGGGCCTGCCAGGCCAGTTCGACCACCTCCTTGGTATTCGACCCCCTATCCTTCCCCCCAATCTTCCATTTGTAGTTAACCCACTGGGCCACTACACTAGCGGCTAGTTCAGTGGGCGTGGGACTCTGCGGGCCCTGACGGGGCCTCCGGCCTCGGGTTTTCCTCCTCTTGTTGAACCTTCGGTAGACCTTATTGCAGGCCTCAGTAATTAGATGCCCCGTGGTTATTCTCTCAGCCTCCGGCCCAGCCCCTGACTGTAGGGCCTGCTTCTGTAGCCGGCCTTCGAAGTCGGCCAGCCGCTTGTTGAGATATAGGTCTAGCGGTGGCACCCAGGCCTCTGTTTCTAAGCACCGAATAGGAGCTGACTTGTATGCCCCTACTACTATTCGAAGGCTCCTGTTCTGAGCTTTTGACAAGACCTTTGCAGGCCCCTTCGGCCCTGTAGCTCTTGGAGCTGTTGGTTGGTGGAAGCTGGGGGCTCCGTAAGCTATGGCACTGCGGATGCACTTTACGTAGACCTCCCGAGCCCTGGATAGGCTCGGGCCCCACGTCTTTGCTGCAATCCTCGATAAGGCGAAATCTTGGGTTTTGAGTTTCCGTTCCACAGCTTGTTGGTGCGCCCTCCATGACAGCTTCCAGTCCAGCCAGACTCCTAGAAACCGAGCCGATTCCACTGGCTTAACTGTGCTGTAGCCACTGGCCCCTGGGTGGGCCAGGGCCACCGGGTTCTCCCACTGTCTCCGACCTTTGTTGAAGTGAATTAATTCGCACTTTTGAGGTGCGAACGCCATCCCCCGGGTACCAGCCCACTGCAAGCAGGTCTTCCAAGCTTTTTCCAGTTGCTGTGTATTGGCCTCTGGGTTCTTTCCAAAGGCCAGTAGGTTTGTGTCGTCTGCGAACCCTACTATGCTAACCAGTGGATGGGCTGTTTTCAGGGCCTGATATAGGGAGGCAATGTAGAGGATAAATAGGATCGGGGATAGTGGTGAGCCCTGGGGGACTCCCGCTATGACTGGGATGTCCTCTGTTTTCTGGCCGTCGAAGTGGAGGATCGCAACTCTGTTACTTAACCACGCCTTCACCCACAGAACCACCCACTGTGGGTAACCCTGTAGCCGAAGAGTGGCTAGTAGCCGGGTATGGTTGACGGTGTCGAATGCCCCTGAGATATCCAACTGTAGAAGGGAGGCGGTTGCTTTCTGCCGCCAGGCCTCCTGGACTTGGGCTACGACTAGCCGAATCGCTACCTCTGTTGACCTGTGCTCTCGGTTTCCCATCTGCTCCGCTGGTAGTAGGCCGTAGGCCTCTGCAGCACTAGTAATCCTCTTTGCTACCAGTGCTTCTATGACCTTCCCAACTGTAGGTAGAAGGGCTATAGGCCTGTAGCCTCCTGGAGTTCGGTAGGTACTCGGCTCTTTTCCGGGCTTTTGTAGGACAACTGTTTTGGCTCTCTTGAATATTTCTGGAAACCATCCGATCCGGAAACACGCCTCCGTGAGAACCGCTAGCACCTTGAACAGTGGGCGCCCACAGGCCTTAAGAAGGCCTATAGGTAAGTGGTCCTCGCCTGGAGCCTTCCAAGGACTAATCTTCGAAAGGACTGCCCTAACATCACCCACTGTAACCTTTTCCTCTATATTGAACTTCGGAACCCACTGTTCTATCAGGTCCGGGTCCTCTATATCAGAAAGGTCAGCTTCTGGGTTAGGGTAGAACCGGCGTGCTAAGGCCTCCGCCTTCTCCTCGTGGGTGGAGAGGTCCTGGCCTCCGGGGGGCCCTGTGAGAGCGGGTAGTTTCGGGGGATCTGGGGGGGCGAAGCTTCTGCAACGGGCCCAGCGTTCTAGGCTCCATAGCAGGTCGGGTTTGTGGGTGGCTTTCTGCATTGTTGTCCTCACCGTAATTAACCACAACAGTCGTGCCCTTTTGATCCAGCGTTACTAGACGGGGTGGCTGGATCTTCAAGAATGGACAAGGTGCATAAACACAGTAGACGGGAACGAGACAAAGGTTGAAGGCAGGACCATGGGTTGTTCACATGAATCGCCACAAGCTTTTTCTTTGTGGAAATCAGGGGCGTATTGGGCGGCGGGGCTTCCGCTTGCGTAAAGACAGGCGTGACCTGCTTTTGGGCCCTCCCGTGTCGTAAATGTGCATTGTCTCTCTCACGTCACAGTCTTTAACATTCTGGATGGCTTCCCATCATATGGACGTCGATTTGTGAGACAGTTCCTCCCGCAGGTCTACTCAACGATTTCCTCACCCTCCACCCAAACAACGCCACCATTACTGTCTGCACGCCATGGATGACTTCAAGAGAAGGCAGCGGGAATCCAACTACAAGTTCCATGTTTTTCGCACAACAGGGAACGATCCGGACTTAAAATCGGCGGCCTGTCTACACTACCCGTATCCAGACCCATGTGTGTACCCAATCCCTACCTAACCAATAGCTAATGGGCCCTTAACTGATGTATTCACAATAAGATCCACATCCATGGAACAGAGCATACGAGGGTATCAAGCGCGGCAACCTGCGGTCGCGCTTTGCCCGTTACACGTCCCTCGATAGGGATACGAAAGATCGCCGTAGGATGCAGAAGCCAACTATCGCCGCTGCTCGGCGGCGCTTGAGAACCCAACTCCTATCCCGGCGACTCCATTGGTCTAGAGACCTAGGTTGGGGAGGGTTTGGATTGGCCTCCTTGTTTCACTACAAGAGCGACTGCCCTCCTCATGAAAAAAAGTACCTTGTCGCCAAGTGCAACCTTGCGAGCAGAAGAAACGCGGACGATATGCTTATGACCGAGAAACATACGACTGATGTAAGTTTCAGCTCTTCTTTTCACCGAACGATGTTATGTACCCCTCCTTGGGTCATCTCTGACTCGAATACCCGCAGCGATTCAAACATGCTATGCACATCGTTCAGCTTGCGGAGCCCCCGGCGGTGGTAGAAACGCGGCGGTCCAACCGCGTCCGAAAACGTCGGGGGCTCCCAGTGTTGGGCGATGGCGGATCGGGATGGGCACCCAACGAGCTTGATATCGAGAACATCATGCTCCTCGAGTATTTTCCGCGGGGGAGTTTATACAAGGCCATTTGCACAGCCGTTAGCAAAGACGTCGAGTTCCCCAACCGCGTGCTATGGCAGATGTTTCATTGTCGTAAGTCAAGCCAACGTTTCGGGGTTCAGGCCCTGTGTCGCTGTGTTGAACCATGCAACGTACTAACATGCATGTTCTCCCAGTCATCAAAGCCTGTATCGCCATGGCATATCCACCTAAAAGCTACGGGCATGCCTACAAGGGTCGGCAGCCGCCTTTCAGTGAACGAGCTCCCGACGATAGATATGAAGAAAAGGACAGATTCATCCACTGGGACATTGACCCACAGAACAGTCCGTCCCGCCATGAGATATCATTGCCACTCCTAACATGAAGCAACGCTGCTAATCAACTGGTACGAATAGTTTTGGTGGGCGGGAACGAGCCTGGCTCAGGCCACCCCCTGGTTCCGTCGTTGAAATTGGCCGACTTTGGGGTCGCGACGTTGCTCACAGGGGAGGACCTCTTTCGCAGGTAAATAAGGTATCCTAGCGTTCTCGGTCAGAGGCATGACTAACAGCGGGGTCACTTTAGTGACTATATGTTAGGCCTTCGAGATAGCGCCAAAAGGAGCTATTGCACGCCGGTACATAGCCATCTCAAGACCACCTGGAGAGCGAGTCTAACACCGTCTTTCACTACCACAGGAGCAATTCACCCAGGAATGGGACTACGTTCCATATGACCGGACACCATGGATGATGGAGGAGCTGCCCCGAGTAGCCGGGAACTACAGCTGGAAGACCAACCTCTTCCAAATGGGTTTGGTAAGTACCATCAGTCAACAAACACCTCACCACCCCATCGGTCCCCCCATGCTCCACCCACCCCCAATCACCAACCACCCCACCCTCCAACCTCAACTAACCCCCTCCCCCAAACAGGTCATGCTCTCCCTCATAACCAAGCACTCCCCCGCGAGGCCCCCCCTCCCCCAACGCATCTACATCCCGCCCTTCAACCCCTTCGATCCGGACCAGCACGACGACGACGACCTACACCGCCCCGTCCCACCACCCAACACAGGCGACGCACCAAATCCCCCCTCACCCACCTCCGCCCCCCACCTCTTCAACGACCCGGCCGCCTACCTCGAAGCGGACGGAGCCCGCCTCGACAACACCCTCTTCGGCCCATGCGCGTAACAACACCACCCGAGCCGGACCAACACCAACCCGCACGATGAGGCCGACCGCGTGGGGCGGGATGGGATCCGGGTGTGGTCGTACGGCGAGTATGTGTGGGATGAGAGTGATGAAGCGGGGGAGATGGGGCCCGCTGGCAAGGGTATGACCATGTGGATCGGGGGTTGAGGCGGTTGGTGGCGCAGTGTTTGTCCGCGGATCCGTTTTATCGGCCGAGGATGAGGTGTTTGAGTCGGGTGGTGGGGGAGGATGTGAAGAGGAGGTGGGGGGGTGGGTGTGGTGAGGAGGGGGAGGATGGGGGATGGGGGAGGTGTGGAGTGAGGAGATGATGGAGGAGGATACGGATGAGGGGGTGAGGGAGTGGGTGAGGGAGGTGTTTGAGCGGCCGATTGCGCCCGAGGGGGAGAAGGACGTCGGTGAGGGGGAGGTGTAGGAACATATGGGGGATGTCGCGGTGGATTGTTCATCTTCTTGTAGGTGCATGGAAGTGGAGGGAGGGGGGTTCCGGCTTGTTGCCGTGAGACGGAGCATCAGGGGCACGCCAACAACCGCAGTCTTGGTTGCTACCTTGGTCAGAGAGGTGTACGAATGAATGCTTTTAGATTTGATTCCCTCGGGCTTGACTAGAGCTGCATGCTCCCCACTAAATTCAGGTCTTGTCCAACATCCATCCCGGAGTGACAGAGACGGAGGACCTTATGTTAGATGCTTGTTGATGTCGTGATGCAAGTACTTCGTTGCTTCCTGAAACCCATACTATTAATATGGCTAGGACTGTTAGGAAATGTAGAGTAATGAACTCAAGGCTTGGAAAACCAAGTTAGCACAACAAGTCAGCACAACAAGTCTGCACAACGAAGATCAGGTATTTTGCAATCTAGATATCACCCGTAGCATACATTCCCTACTGTGAGAACCCATTAAGAATTTCACCGGGATAATATAACTTGTCTTTCGAAACGAAACCCTCCAAGATCCCGAATACTACCTTACTTACTGCGATGCACTCGGGACCCTAGTCTCTGGCCAAATGAGCAGCGAAAATAAAAGAACGCCATAAAGTAAACCGCAAACCTCGGGCCCCTTCTGTGGTCATAGTTTACCAACTAAGTTGCAATAGCAACGGTTCAGTCCCTCTTCGCCGTCTTAACGGTCTTCCACGTCATAAACATAGCCTGGCCTCCTGGTCAAGTCGTCGAGGGAGTGGACATGAGTGAGTTCGCCAAACATGTTCTATTTTTGTTTGACTGTCAACAGCCGCCGTATCATTGCACTCCACGACAATCTATTTCTCGGCGAAATATGCACTTTTGGAGGGGCGTATAAGCCATCGTGCGTTGTCACGTCAGAGGTGAAGGACTGTGAATCTGGTACCGACCTGATGCCAAAACGGCATGGTGCGGCTGAGTGTGCTGAACGACTGCTTGGTCATGTCGGCCACGTGCACCTCAGGGGGTACCGGAGGTTAGAACCGGGGGAATCATGCGGAGAGCGGCTCCCCGCATTTAGTTGCATTGCAGAGACGCATTCTGGATGACTTCCCGGTACTCGGTATCTCCAACGGCATCTCCAACGGCATCTCCTGCGTGGCTCAACCGGCCGCTCTTGGCGATCAGCCGGCTGTGGGTGCGCCTGGGACCCGGCTGACCCGCTGGACTTTAGTTATGTATAAGGACTTCGGCCTGGAAGCGAGGGCCCATCGAGAGTGGCATTCCAGGCGATTATCGCCGAAAGAGAGACCGGCTCCACCAAGCTAATTGGTGCGCCTAACGCGAACCAGCATTGGGGCCCAGTTGTGGAGCGTGTCAGTTGCGTCGACGAGAGTTTGTGAGACAGCTCCAGCAGCCATGGCACCAGACGAGAGCGGTAAAGGGTTCTGCGGCTCCGTCCGTTCCCATGCCGCATCAGGGTGCGGGAGCTTCCTCCGCGTCGGAACATCGGCGAGCAATCCGTTAGCGGGTAGACCAAGAAGCTAACTAACGTGAGTTTACAGCGATCTCAATACCTCGTCAACGACAGGCGCTGCGAGCCAGAGTGCCAAGTGGCGCCGTGGAGTTGGCGCCCAGACCGCGTTGGAGACCAAGTCAACGGCAAGGCAACGGTTTCCCTGTCGATGAACCTTCGGGAACGCCGGGAGGTAGTCCGTCGTGGCTCCGAAAGAATGACTAAAAGGGAACGGACGCTACATTCGGTGCACATAGTCGTACCAAGACAGACTGGAGGTAGTATACGGACACAATAGCACGAATAATGCCGGTCCCCACATAGGTACTCATAGATGCCATGGCTGAAATAGTTGAAATACCCCCCGATTGCAGAGAGCTTTGCAGATGTTTACCAGCCGATAATCATCAGCAGTCCGAGTCAAGATGCGTTCCTTTACTCTCCTCGCCGGCCTCCTCGCCACCGCCTCGGCTCTTCCCGCCATTGAGCCGCGGCAGTCTGGCAACCCCTTCTCCGGCCGCACCCTGCTCGTCAACCCAAGCTACAGCGAGTCTCTCGAGCAAACCCGCCAAGCCTTGGCGAACGCTGGAGATCAGACGAGCGCCGGCAAGGTGAAGTTCGTTCAGGACAAGGTCGGTACCTTCGTCTGGATCTCGAACATTGCCCTCCTGGCCGATATCGATAAGGCCATTACCAATGCCCGTGCCGCCAAGGCGAAGGGCGAGAACCCCGTTATCGGTCTTGTTCTGTACAACATCCCCGACCGTGACTGCAGTGCCGGCGAGTCTTCCGGTGAGCTGAGCTTCGCCCAGAATGGCCTCGCTCGGTACAAGAGCGAGTACGTGACGCCGTTCGCCCAGAAGCTCAAGGCCGCTTCGGATCTTCAGTTTGCCGTCGTTCTCGAGCCCGATGCCATGGGCAACATGGTCACTGGCACCACTGCCTTCTGCCAAAACGCCCGTGGTCCCCAACAGGACGGTATTGCCTACGCTATCCAGCAGCTCCAGGCCAGCAACGTCGCCCTCTACCTCGACGTGGCCAATGGCGGCTGGCTTGGCTGGCCGGACAACCTCGAACTGAGTAAGTCTCATTCTTCCGTGCTAGTGCGGAACCTGAAACACTAACCTAACCACCACCCTCACAGCCGCTGACGTGGTCGCGACCATCCTCCAAAAGGCCGGCGGCAACAACCGCATCCGCGGCTACGCGAGCAACGTGTCCAACTACAACCCCTACAAATCCGCCAACCCGCCCGCCTACACCGAAGGCAGCCCGTCGCCCGACGAATCGCGCTACGCCGACAACCTCGCCGCCGCCTTTGGGCAGCGCGGCCTCCCGACCAAGTTCATCATCGACCAGGGCCGGGTGGCGCTCGACGGCGCGCGCAAGGAGTGGGGCGAGTGGTGCAACGTGTACCCCTCCGGCTTCGGCCAGCCCTTCACTACCAACACGGGCAACAACAACGTCGACGCCATCGTGTGGATCAAGCCCGGCGGCGAGTCCGACGGCCAGTGCGGCATGCCGGGCGCCCCGCGCGCCGGCGCCTGGTTTGATGCGTTTGCGCAGCAGCTCGCGAAGAATGCGCACCCGGATATCACGGCTGGTGGTGGTAACAATGGTGGTGGTGGGAACCCGGGGGGCGGTAACTGCGCGGCGAGGTGGGCGCAGTGTGGTGGGCAGGGGTTCACCGGCCCGACTTGCTGCTCGGAGGGCACTTGCACGGTGTCGAACCAGTGGTACTCGCAGTGCTTGTAAGGCGGTGGGGTATTGGTGCCGCGTCGACTCCGAATTCAACGAGGGCGACTGGAGATACGCGCCGACGGATGACGCGAAGATTTTGTCGGCTGAAAGAGCAAGGACTGTCTTGGGACCGCAATTGCTGCATGCGAGCATTCCCGGGATGGATTGTCGGAGTCACGGAGATGGGGTATCAGATGAATCTCAAGACCAGTCCCGGCAATTGGGTGATCACTCTTCGACAGCCTCACCTGTCGTTAAAGAGGGCGTCGTGGAAGAGTGGGAGGTGAAGATATGTGACCACAGGGCGGGGGATAACGGCGACCTAGAACTGCTTGTGGGATGGAAAGAGGGAGAGGAGACATGAGGGGCTTGCGGCAACGAGGCGGAGACGGAGATACTTGATGAGTATGGGCACCTTCATAGCCGGGTTCAATGTATATATTGCCATTATTTCTTGAAATATTACCTCGGTGACTTATCTCGTCATCTACGTGTTTTCAGACCGAAGGAGACGCGTAACGAGGAATCCCGTGTTTTCTCGTAGATATGGTCGTACCTATTTAACCTTCAATGGAGAGAGAGTCGTTTATGAAGGTGCACTCTGTTACACCACATGGCGGGCCTGTAAAACGGGCCGTTTGGTACGGCTATCCGAGCGGGGCAGTTCAGATGGCCACCTCTGTTCTCGATTGCTCTTGCAACTTTCACTGAACTTTTGGCCTCGAACCAGTCTCAACATTTCCAAATCTGGACTCCCCATAGTCCGAGCTTGCACGCAGTATCATATCCTCAAAACCTCACCACACTATTCCAGACACCACGGCAGGCAACATGGGTCGACCTGGCGCGATGCTCGTCCAGTCCCAGCCCACGCCTGGCGGCATTACCGAAGGCAACCTCGCGGAATGGTACTTCAACAAGCACATTCCCGAAGTTCTCAGTACCGGTGGCGTGCGCGGTGTCTTATTCTGTCACGTTGACCGTAAATCATCCAAGCACTATGTTGGAGAGCCCGTGCCGAAACAGTTTCTGGCTGTGTATCTGCTTCACGACTTAGATTGGCTGCATGAAGAGGATTGCGGACTGTGGAAGTTGTCGTTAGTGCTGGCCTCTGATGATCAGGCGCTAGAAGAACAACACAGAGGCAGGAGTGTCTTTGAGGTTGCTGAATTCACGACGTACTTTTGGGAGGTTGTCGATTCCACAACGCACCAGGGGATGGCAACCCAGCTCCCCGCCACCACTCCTGACAATGTCAAGGCTGCTGATGGTGAGTGTTGGTCCTGATCTCATAACCTGGGTTGTCTTGGGACGACGCTGACTGGCAGCTCAGAACCGCCCAAGCGCCTCGTGCTCTCGTACTTGGACAACCCTCCCCGCGATCATTCTTTCGCTGAGACTCGGTCAAAGCTCTCAGACTCCAACTGGATATCGGCGCCGGGCCTGAGGCCAAGACAACCAGCGGTCATGTCAACGTTGTTCAAGGTTGACGAGACACGCCCTGGCCCGCCTGGCAGCAAGAGTAAGGAGGGCGATGTACCGGCGGCACTTCCAGAGAAACAATATTTGCATTTGGTAAGTGAGGTTCGGCGTCCTGTCTCGAATGTACAACTGCCATCTCACACGGCCATCTCCACAGTGTCAACTTTCCCGCCACGGCCCAGACGACATCCCATTTATCCAGTCCGACCTCCAACCCGACCGCTGCTCGTCCAGGGTTGAATACAGGGTGATGGTCGAATATGGTGACACAAAAGGCTTCACAGTCCAACCATAAAATCCCGAATCAACATCAATCGACCATGGTGGGCGCCCGTTATGCCTTGGTCTCCTTCTTCGACCTCAACATCCACCAGCCAGCGAGCAAAACGCCAGCCCCTGTGACCGTCCCAGCTTTCCTGTGGCTATGTCAGTCATGCCATAAGTGAAATAGAAATTGGGTCTGGTGTTGGTGTTGGCTACCAGTTCACAGGATTCCGTTGGGGTCCCGGTGGTTCTGAACCGCCCACTCCCCCGAGCTCCTCTTTATCCGTGTTGACAAAACGCACGTTCTTTGCTGGCAGTACTGCCAATGGAAGTCGTTTTGAGGAGTGTCGAAGAGGAGAGAGTGTTGTTAGTGTCGTAACTGTTCTGGGTCTCAGCATGATGTTTGTTTGAACTTGTTGGGTTGGTCTTTTTAACATTTGGTAATTTAGATGATCAGTTCCGGACCGTTTTTCTTTTCTTTTGTTTATGTCCCATTTTCGGGAATTCTTTTCCATCATAATCCAAGATTGCCCGGTTCCTGGCGGATCATGGCGACAATGACGACATCACAACCAATCCAGGGCGATCCCGAAACCGTCTCGAGCAATCCCTCCTCGTCGGGTTTCCAATAAGCGAGAGACGGACAGATGACGTCACCTTTATTGATAACCTTCCCGAGTATCGCGCCATGTTAAACACCATGCGCCTTAATCCGAGGGCCTACCGCACCCTTGGACATGAGTGTTGGGAGGCGCGGGTTATGAACAAGGCCTGGAGGCATACCGTGCTCTCCTCATGAGAGGTCCAGGAACCTCAGGCGCAGCTGCAGGTCTGCTCTCTTCACTCCTGCCCTCAGGTGAATCTTCCCCGCCCTTTTCCGGTCTCACCCGATCTGAGAAAGGAAAGGAGAGCTCATGCACCATACACTGAGTTCTCGAAATTCGGTCAAAGTCGGGGTTGTGATTGGCGCATATCAGTTTGGAGGCAGTCGAGTTGCATGACCGCGGCCCAATTGCGGTTGAGGTGAGCAAGCCGTGCTGCATGGAAACTGCACATCGGCATCCATGTTGCAGCAGAAGAGGCGTTCAGAGGTGCTCGTCTCCGCTGAGGGCTTTAACCAATCGGGAATTTGGTCGCCGATTGGATGGTGTTGCCTTTCAAAGATGGCGAGGATGAATCCATCTAGTTAATTACCCTCTCATATTTACTCTAACTACGTCCAGACTGCCCACAAGGACATTGCGGGGGGGGCGAAAATGAAGACGATACCGAGGACGGCGAGGACGGGGACGGGTAAGGTACCTCCCAAAAAGCGAACAAAGAGACGCGCCGGTCAACCCTCGGTCGTGGTATCGTGACGATATTATGCTGGGATAGGCAGTATGCAGGCAGTATCTGTGTCAGGAGCCGTACTCTCCTTCAGTCATTTACACGTAGACAGTTCAGGTCTCTTTTGTTCTTCATTCGAACAACCAAGTCATGCCCCCCACGCCATCCACGATGTACCACTGTTACACCCAGAATGGGAGCCCACCTCACCGCTTCCAGATTTGGTAGGTCTATACATGCAGGTACCTGAACGTTCGAATTCCGAAACGGATCTGGATTTTAATTACCCGGCTCCTTTATTGAGTTCTTCCCTCTACATAGAACCCAGCCCAGTTTAATCTTCCATCACACCACACCTATCCGCCAGTATCGCGATGGCGTCCCAACACATTCTAGCCACGCCGCCGTCGAAAGACGCCATCCTCAATTCCCTCCTCGAAATCGTCCGCGTTTACAATGCGCACCCACCGCCCGGACGCGACGCCATCGTCTTTGGCGCGTGCGAACTCAACGCGGAAATGCCTCTGCTTCTCAACCCACGTAGCTCGCGCCTCGCGTGCAGGGAGCCGCCTTCCGAATTCGAGGCCGTCAACGCCCATTTTTCAGCCCAAGTGCATGCTTTTTTCGACGCATTGCACGACCTCGAGGATACGGCAGACAAACCATCCTCTGACAACCTAGATCTCTGTCGTCCTGACGAAACCCTTCGGCCCGTCATCCGTATTTTCAACCAGTCCTTCGATATCTACCCCCGCTGCTACCACCGTCACTTCCACACCCGCCGCCTCACCATCCAGAACCCGGAGCGTCTACCCCTCCTCAACCGGGTCACCTCCCTGCGTATCCTCCCCTACCGGGCCAACAACTCGGACCCGGCCCACAGGCGACCTATCTCACTGCGTACGCCGCTCGACCTTGCTACCCGCCTCCCCCAGCTTCGCGAGCTAGACTGTCCCTGGCTAGGGGAGCGCCTTCCCATCGCCTTTAAATCCGAGGCACTGCGCATTATTTTCCGTATCTGGGCAGGTCCCTGGCGCGACGACCGCGCCGAGTTTGGTCGAGCTGTGCGCGCGGCTTTACCCTTGTTGTCGCCCTACCTCACTAAGGCCCGTCTTTGGTTCTGGAAGCCGAATGCGTATGGGGATGGAATGGATCAAGCGGCGCAGATGCCCGATCTTGTTGGCTCGTCCCTGTCGTCCTCAGCCGACGAGTCTGATGGTCTGGACCCTGTGTCTCTAGGTCTACGGGACCTGGGAAGTCGCCTGCAGGAACTGGACATCTGCGCGTTTATCACCCCGGAACTTTTCCCCGCTGGCGACGGTCTGTCATGGTCACACATGCGGCACCTCAAAGTAGAATTCCACCCTTGCGCGCCCAACGGCCGCTGGTACTTTTCCGGCCCCAGAGGCGAGAATCCCTACACAACAGGTTTCGCCATTACGGGAGAGCAGCACTACCCGCCTGGGCAGGAAGACGACGACGAAACGCACCAGTTGCTGTCCGACGAGGAGGATGAGTACTGGGGCGACGAGGGTATATACAATACCCGCCAGCCCGATATGTTCCGTATACGCCCTATCGCGGAGCATATCAAGCCTTTGCTCTTGGCGTTTGCCTTGTCTCTACAACGGCAAAAGATGCCCTCTCTTCAGGAAGCCGAGCTGTTTACGTGGCTTACGTGGCGGCCCTCGATGGAGCGGTGGGAAGAGTATGAAGGGAGTGATGAGGTACCGCCAACTTCGGATGAGGAAGATACCGTGATGTTTCGATGGGGGGTGAGATACGAGGCGCCTGCCGTTGGTGGGGATGAGAAAGGAAAGGTGACGTGGCAGGTTGGTGAGGACTGGAGGCCGGATGACGAAATCATCCAGGCATTTGGGGATCTCGTGGGTGGCGGCGGGGAGAATATGGAGTGGAAAGGGTTTGAGTTCCTGGAGAGGAGGAACCAGAATTCGAGTGTCTATGTGTGATGAGAAGACTTTTACAGATGGGCAGGCAGGTCTCTAGAAAAGACACGATTTCAGCTCACAGCTGCCACGACCACGAAAGAGACATTCTTCTTGTGGTTCATCGAACTTTGAAACCCTGAGTAAATACGAGTCAAACTAGCTAGGTAGGTAGGCAGGTATTCAAGAAACTACCGTTACTAAACAAGCCACCAACGATTACCATTACTCAACTCCCCCTTTTCCAATCCACTAACCATCAACCCCAACACAATACGCCTCCCCCAACCAATAATTCGTCGCACAATCGCTACTCACCGCCGGATTCCACGCCAAAAACTGCGTCAACGTAATCCCCGCCTGACTCGCCATCGCCGTGCAGGTCAACCCATCCGTCACAAGCGCCCACTTGTTGCAGTTGGTTGGCGAGCCGGACATGGTCGGCCCAGGCGGCGTCGGCTTGGCCGACACCGTCGTAGGTTTGGTCGTCGTCGTCGGGGTGGCGTCCCCAGAAACGCCGACGCAGTAGGCTTCGCCTAGCCAGTAGTTGGTCGAGCAGTCGGAGCTTACAGCTGGGTTCCAGGCTAGGAATTGCGCGAGCGAGATGCCCGCTTGCGAGGCCATCTCGGTGCAGGAGAGGCCGTCGGTGACGAGGGACCACTTGTTGCAGTCGGCGGGGGAGCCGGTCATGGTTGGGCCCGGTGGGGTGGGTTTGGCGGTTGTGGTGGGTTTTGTGGTGGTTGTTGGCGTGGAGGTGCCCGCGACGCCAACGCAGTAGGCTTCGCCTAGCCAGTAGTTGGTCGAGCAGTCGGAGCTGACGGCTGGATTCCAGGCTAGGAATTGTTCGAGTGAAATACCGGCTTGGGAGGCCATGTCGGTGCAGGAGAGGCCGTCGGTGACGAGGGCCCATTTGTTGCAGTCAGCGGGCGAGCCGGACATGGTTGGGCCGGGAGGTGTTGGCTTTGTGGGACCGGCGGTGGTTGTTGTGGCGGACGCGGTGCCGTCGTCGCCCGAGATGCCGACGCAGTAGGCTTCGCCGACCCAGTAGTTGGTCAAACAGTCGGAGCTCACAGCCGGGTTCCAGGCCAGGAATTGCGCGAGAGAGATGCCGGCCTGGGAGGCCAGGTCCGTGCAGGACAACCCATCCGTCACGACGATCCACCAGTTGCAGTCTGCGGGCGAGCCTGACATGGTTGGGCCCGGCGGCGTCGGGGACGTGTTGGACGGGTCGGTGGTTGAGGTTGCTGTGGCGGTTTCTGGGTTGCCCTTTTGGACGTACCACGAGCCGCAGTAGCGGACGCCCTTTTCGAACGCGCACGCCGAGTCCAAGACGTTGCCGAGGCCGGGGTTCCACAAGCCGAACTGCTCTAGGTCGACGTCGTACGTTGCCGCGGCGAGTTCGCAGTTGCTGGCGAAGCGCGTGCCGGTGAGGTTGTACTGGTAGTCGTCGCCGGCAAAGTAGTGCACGCAGTCATCGCGCGTGCCCGTGGCATCGGGGAGGGGCGTGTACAACCGCGTGTAGGGGGACTCGGTGGCGTCGGGACGCTCGGTGTAGGGGATGCCGGTGAAGGGCGCCGAGGGATCCAGGGTGATAGTGTTGTAGCCGGGGCGGCCAATATAGGTGTTGATATCGCCCACCACAGCGACGCAATAAGACTCCAAGGCGAAGAGGTTGGTGCAGTTTGCATTGACGGCTGGGTTCAGGAAGAGGAAGTCGGGGAGGGTGATGCCGAACTTGATGGCAACGAGATTGCAATAGTCGCCTTCTTGAACCGAGTACCACCGCCCACAAGGCTTGTCGGCACCCCCGGAGCCGTCTGCTGCGTCGGTGGGCTTGGGGGCCGCGGTGGTGGGAGTAAGAGGGGGCAGGCCGGAGGTATCACTAGGGATCACGAACTTGCGGCCGGGAGTGTCGACGCAGATTTCAGAACCGTTCATCTTGGAAAGGTTTGCGCACCCGTAGCTTATGGAAGGGTTCCAGGCAATGAGCTGCGTCTCGGTGATGTTGGCCGCCGCCGCCACGCCCTCACACGTCGCATTGGTAGGGACGGTGACGGTGGTGCACTGGTTGGTGATGCAGAGAGAAGTGCCGGCGGCAGGAAAGTTGGTGCAAAAGGCCTCCAAGTCATTGTCGGCCAGCAGCCAGTCCGTGCCAACGCCCTGGCTTTTGGATATGGTGTAGCAGTCGTCCGACGCTAGAATCGTGTAGGTTGAGCCCTCGCACACCTTGGCTGTCGGAACCGGGGCCGCAGTGAAGTAGCCGATGGTCGTTGTTACGACGGGGCGCCCCGAAATGCTGCAACTCGCCGTCATGCTTTCGTACAGCGACATGCTGGCCGCGATGGGCCCGTCACCGTACGGCGATCCCTGGCGCATCCGCAGCCGCTCGGCCCAAACAGGGGTCACAGTCGTCGGGTTTTATCTGGTCCGTGACGTTGCTGATGTAGTTGAAAGGGCTGATACCGGGGTCCGAGAAAGCCGCTGCCAGGGCTGCAACTGGTCCACAGTAACGCCCCTCGTCGTCCTTGAGGCAAGCATTTTGAAGGTAGTACTGCAACGCCCCTGGAACATAGACAGCCGCGGCCTCGACCTCAAGATCGACCGTGATGGTTTGGTTCCCGCACCCGGATTGTACCGATGATCGCCATGTATCAAGGGCGGATGAGCAAGCGGTGGTGCAGATGCGTGATAATGACGCCGGTGGGTAGAAGACATCGGGACGGAGATCCCTCACCAACGGGTCGCAGGCTGTAACGTCGACGGTCAGGGCATTGGTACACTCTGAGGTGAGTGTCGAGGGAAGACTGTCTGGATAGAGCAGCACCGTGGCAGATGCCGTTGATACAAGTCCGACAGAGAGAAGCACGTCGACGAGGAAGGTCTGCATCATGAAGGTCATCCGAGCCCAAGCTTTACAGCGGATAGCCTTGGGACCTTGGATAAAGCAAGTCAGTGAGAATGACTGCTTTGAGAGGGGGGCGGGAAAGATGGAGCTCTTCGTGTGGTTCAAGGCAGCATCCCATCGAAAGAAGGGCGTCCTTCTTGGGGCAGGTTGTCGAGTATCTTTTGGCCGCTTTCATGAAGCATGCAAGAATGGAAGCTTTTCATTCGGCCGATATCTCCGTCTCCTTTCCCGTCCTTTGGCGCCTTTCCTGCAGGGTGGTGGATGCCACACCTTTTTCAGCTCCCATCAAAGTGAGCAAGGGGTAGTGGTGCCGTCGTGCCGTACCTCGCGCCTTCGACCCCAGGGGTAAAAAAGGCCATGTGAACATCGACTAGCCGCTAGCCTGGAAAGAAAAGAGAGGCTAGTCACTAGTCTATCTTTTCTTTCCATTTCGGTTAACTGCAATACCACCCGCCCTACATTTTTAACTCATGTTCCAACGGCCCCCAACCAACAATTCTGCATCCGACCACACCCCCATTGATCCTCCCGAAAAGATTCGGGCAACACAACCAGGGTGATGATTTGAGGCTATATCAAAATTCAGGGGCAATTCCGACGAACTTTCCGTACCTTGCATGAGTGGGTACCTTAGTGTTCTCATAGTTTGCCCCTTGGAAATGCAAAGCACAAATTCCTATAACTAACTACGATTATGGTAAGTTCTTGAAATGGGCCTGCCTCCGGCAATAGAGAGGCTAGGTACTTATTCCCACTCAATGACTCGGGGACTAGTTTGGCGTGTCCCCCATTGCTGGCAGAAAGAAAGACCGTATAATTACCGATCACACAATTTATCGAATGCACTGATACCCACGGAGTCCTGCTTACGCGCACACCTGCCCCATCGGGCGTCTCTCGTGCCACGATGGACACTTGATATTACCCTCAGTTACACGAACGCGGACCTGGACTGCCGTCTGTGCCGAGAGGAGGGACTAGTGAGGCCTGGTGTGGTCCATCGGAGTTAGAGTAGCAGTGAATCCCGCGTAGCGTTAGTGGTAGGTAGTATGTACCCAGGTACCGACTCAAAGAGCCATCTTATACAAGATGCGGCGGCAACTTGCTGCCCTGCAGCTCGTAGGGATTCCCGTGCAAGGCACAACACCCGTGACGGACGGCCATGCGGTATCCTATTGTTCTTGCTCTCCTTTGCGGGGGGAGGCTCGCCGAGGCCTTGCCCTGGCATCAGGCAACGGATCATTCTGCTGTTCCCGCTGTCGCTGATGTGCCCAGAACGTGTCGAAATCCCGTGTTGTAAGTGTCTCGTCGCCCCTTTTTGAACTATCGTATCAGGCATGATCTCATTGCTAATCACCGCAGACCATTTGACTACTCAGCCAAGGTCAGGCGCGAATATGAGCTGCCGCTGTGTCGGGATGGCGACGAGAAGCTTGGGATAACCCCGTTTCTCGGCGCCATGGACGCGCCGTCTCTGCTTAGCGGCCGAGCCACGGTTGATGACTACACGTGCGCACCGGACCGACCTTGCGCCAACAAGGCTTGCTGCCCCAAGGCCACGCTGTCGTGCAACTACGGCGAGGAGGCGTGCGGCACGTCGGGCATCTCGCCCAACGAAGTCTGCTGGTCCAACTGCGATGCTAAGTCCGAGTGCGGTAAGGACGCCAAAGTGCCTGGCCAGGAATGTCCGCTCAACGTCTGTTGCGGCAAATGGGGCTTTTGCGGCATGACCGAGGATTACTGTGACAAGGAAGATCATGGTGCCACTGGCGGCTGCCGTAAGTCAATCTTTTAGCGGATAGGAGTCATCTTGAGTCGATTTACTCCCAAGACCACGCGCATGTTTTCGAACTCCCCCTAGAACCACATACCTACAACAGGAATAATTTAGCTAACATTGGGCAGAGTCCAACTGCGACCAACCTGGCCCCAAGAACAAAGCCAGCACGCAGGCCCGCGTTATCGGCTACTATGAGGGCTGGCGAGCCGACAGCGCGTGTCAGGGCATGGGACTCAACGACATTCCCGTCAACTCGTTGACCCACCTGTACTTTTCTTTTGCTTCCATCACCCCGGACACGTACAGCATCGCGCCCATGGAAGGCATCGATGGGTCTCTGTTTTCTAAATTCACCAACCTCAAGAAGAAGAACCCCGCCCTCAAGACCGTCATCGCCATTGGCGGATGGACCTTCAACGACCCAGGCCCGACACAGAAGGTATTTAGCAATATGGTGAGCACGGCGGAGAATCGTGAGACCTTTATCGACAACCTGTTCAGCTTCCTGCGCGAGTACGCCTTCGACGGCGTTGACTTTGACTGGGAGTACCCCGGCGCTGATGACCGCGGAGGTGTCGAGGCCGACGGCAAGAACTTTGTCACATTTCTCAAGGAACTCGACGCCGCCAACAAGAAACAGCCCGTCAAGTACGTAGTTTCGTTTACGCTGCCTACCTCATACTGGTACATGCGCCACTTTGACCTCAAGGCTGTGGACCACGTCGACTTTGTGAACGTCATGTCCTACGACCTGCACGGCGTTTGGGACGGCAAGAATCCCATCGGCCAGAAAATCTACGGCCACACCAATATCACCGAGATGAAGCAGGCTTTTGATCTCTTCTGGCGCAACGACGTCCCCGCCAACAAACTCAACATGGGCCTCGGGTTTTATGGCCGTGCCTTCCAGCTCCAGGACCCCTCGTGCAGTAAGCCGGGGTGCGGTTTCAAGGGCGGCGCCACCAAGGGCGGCTGCAGCGGGGAGTCAGGCATTCTGAGCTACCGCGAGATTATGGCCGTCATTGATTCCAAAAAAATAAAGCCCGTACATGACAAGAAAGCGGGCGTCAAGTATATTACGTGGAACAACGACCGTATGTCAATAACTTTTGTCCATCCCCGCCTTTCTGCCCCCCGGACTGCCCCTGAAACGCTTAAGAAAAGTACGGCTAACATTGCTGGACAGAGTGGGTATCATACGACGACGCCGACACCTTCAAGCAAAAGAAGGACCTGGCCGCGGATCTAGGGCTGGGCGGCTACCTCATCTGGGCCATCGATCAGGACGACGAGCATTTGACGGCACTGCAGGCCGTCATCTCGCCCAAGAAACTAGGTGACTTGGGCGCAGCCAGCGACAAGGACGATTGGCAATCTTCCAACAAGCATTGCTATATCACATCCTGCGATGGCAACTGCGACGCCGGCGACATCAAAATTACCGACCAACCCTGCGGTGAAGACGACAAGCGAAGCAAGCTCTGCTGCCCGTTATCTGGGGCCCCGGATCCCAAGGAGTGCACATGGCGTGGCAATCCCACCTTGTGCAACGGGCACTGCCATGACGACGAAGTCATGATGGAGATGAACAAGTGGGGTGACGGCGGTGGGTGTAGTGACGGCAACAAGGCCTACTGCTGCAAAAGCCCGCTCGCTGCGGAAAACACGTGCTACTGGACCGGCGTCGGCGGCTCCTGCAATGGCGATGACCTACCGCTGACGTTCTCGGGTACCGTTCTGACTATCTTGGAAGACGTGGCCAAGGTCATCCTCCGCGTCGTTGGGCGCGCCTATCCTCTTACTGCGCTGGCAGGAGAAGCGCTCCTCCTGGTGCTAGACGAACTCGACCTCGACACAGACAAGTACTACTGCTGCCCAAAAGAAGACATCCCCAAGTGGAAGAACTGCGACTGGTTCGGCAAGCCCGGCAGCTGCTATGACGGCCATTGCCCGGACATGACTTACGCCCAGCTGACGGACAGCTACTTCGGCGGCGGCGAGACGTGCGGCTGGCAGCTTTCTCGCGTGCGCACCTTTTGTTGCGAGCCGGCCAAAGACCCCTTGTTTCTGCCGGTGCCGCTGGGCAACCTCTTCGAGAACCCCCCTGAGGGTGAGAGTGTCGACACTGACTTTTCCCTCGAAACGGACAAAGACTCGGACAGTCAGCAAAACCCCAACGACGCGGCCTTCCAGTTTGTCGTGCTCGCTTCGCCTGAGGAGCTGCAGGTCTCACTCGACAAGCGTGACGGCTCCCACTGGGACATCTTCTCGGGCTGCGATTCGGCCATCGGTGAAGACGGCCCGCACACGGTGCAAATGGTATGCACAGACTTCTCCGAGGGCAGCAACTGCCACAAGATCAGTCTCGGACACGGCGTCCCGGGGACCATTTTGCAGATGCCCCCCGGGTGCGGACCTGGGAAGTACGCCGTTGCGAAAGACATGGTCCCAACCTCCGACCCGGCAAAGACCATTCTTCCGCGCCACCTTGAACACCTCTCGGCCGCCCACACCGCAGTGGTCTACGATTTGACTTTTGACTACGACTTTACCCGCGTGCGCCGCGACCTCGGTGACACCCAGATGCGCATCGACTTCAGCAACCAAGACGACTACTGGGACACCATCGTGGCGGCGGCCGGAAACACCAAAAAGAAGATCAAACGCTCCCTCGCTGACACTGGGGGCAACCACGCCCGCTGGCTTGAAGAGGAATTCCGCGACGACTACCATTTCGGCACCCTCTCTCGCCGTGATCTCGAGGAGCGCTGGTTCGGCTCAGGCGTCCTCGACTGGCTTGCCCGCCTTGTTAAGCCGGAAATTAAACGCGAGTTCACCTACAACTACAGGGACACGTTGACAGCCAAACTCGTCGACGAGACGTGGCAATGCAACCGCAACGGCGTTGACTACGAGGGCCACATTCTTGCCCAGGCCCTCCTTAAAGTAAACGTCGCGACCAGCTTCGGTTTCACTTTGATCGTAACAAAACTGACGCCGCCCTTGGACATTTCCCAAAGCTACCTGACCTTCTACAATAAGGGCGAGATTACGGGAGTGTTGACACTCGAAGCTGTCGCCAAGTTTTCCTTTCACAAATCGGAAGTCATCTTGAACATCCCTTTCCCGGGCGCCTCGTTCAAGATCCCGGGAATCGCCACCATAGGTCCGCAGCTGACGGTCGAGGGGAGCATTGACGCCTCGCTCACCCTGGCGGGCAAGGTGGAAACACGGCTTGAGTTCGCCAACTGGGAGGTTCGTCAAGTGCTTCCCGACAATGGGGACAGCAACTACACGCCCAAGGAAATTGGTGACGGTGACCCGGACCTCAAGCGTACCGGTGACAACAAGGACCTGGACGAGCCCAACTTCTATGCCGGCGTCCAGGCTCTCGGTGACGTGACGGCCAAGATCTCGGCGGCGGCCGAGTTCGGTATCCGCTTCGACAAGCGCTGGGACATTGATCCGGCCGCCGCGGCTATTGTGGCCGAGGCTAGCGTCATGCTGAAAATGGGCGCCGGCATCTCCACCAAAGACACCTGCCCCTTCACATTTGGGGTTGATGTCGGCGCACGCCTGTTTGCACGCGCAACGGCACCAGGATTTGGGTGGCCGGGGGCCGAGGTAGCCATCACGCCGGCTTATAATAAGCCCATCATCGACGGTGGCAGGTGTCCAGGCCTGGGACCCCTCCCGACCAAGCGTGACTTGACTCTTCTCACGATCGAGGCCAACGACACCAGTGGTCATCGGGCATGGTCATAGCCACACCCACAACAGCCGCGCCCTGGCCAAGCGAGCCTCCGTCTGGGGCCCGGTACTCAGCGTGCCCGTGGGGGACTACTTTTGCCCGCCCGAATCCGATGACAGCGTCGGTCCAGGCACCACATGCTCCCAGATTGGTTATGCCTGGCCAGAATCGAGTGAAGATCCCGAAGACTCCTCGCTTCTCAGGCGCGGCGGGACTTTTGGAAAAGTTCTCGAAAAACGGGCTAGAAAGGAAGTCCACATTTGCGACCAAACTTTCACCTTCCTATACCCGTCAAACAGCGTCGCCAAATCAAAGGGCAACCTTCCTTACGGGTTTACCACCACCGACTGCGCCGACTTCAACTTCGACGCTCTCGGCATCAACGGCGTCGCGGGCGTTTCTTACGACACCGAACATGTTCTTGAGGCCCAACTCATCAAACTGTTCTTTGATGAGGTCGACCATGACAATTTCAACGGCTTCCCCCACCCGGATCCCACTCAGCCGGCGACCACGCGACTCGGCTTCTGTGAGCTTGTTAATGTGCTCTGGGACATAAACCCCGTTGTAATCCCAAACCTCGAAAGCGCGTTTACCGGCCAGGCCCTGAGCCCCTATGAACAGGTCGTCGCCCAATTCCCCACCACAACATGGAAGGTGGACGAGTACGTCCGCCTCGAGAAGAACATCAACTCGCCGGCCAAGGCCAACGCATGGGGCGACAACCAAGTCGCCGACTTCGACAAATGGATCGGCGGCGACCCCAACGACTACGGCAGCGACGTCAACCTGGACACCCCCGTCTACACGGGGCTGATCACCACGCTCGAGGGCGCCGAGAAGATCATGAAGTCGATGCGCGCCATCCTCGGCTCGCGGCTGTACCACAACCACCCCACCATCATGGCCATCCTGCGGGCGCAGAAGGCGCGCGTGGGCGAGGTGCTCCGGCGGCTCGACACCGAGATCCTGCCCAACAACCCGCCGCAGGCCGGCTGGACGCCGTGGGCGCCGATGGGGCTCAAGGACAAGTGGGACGCGTTCATGAGGGGCAAGATGGCCTTGGCCGTGACCAAGTCCGACAAGGTGCTCAACGACATCCTGCCGCGCATGCAGGTCCAGTGGGCCACCCAGGCGCATAGGGACGCAGCGGCCGACGACAGTAACGATACGCAGGCGGAGAGGCTGGTGAAGGCGAGGAAGAGGAGGCTGATTAATACTATTGATGCCTTCGCCGAGGCTTTGAGGTTGGCGCCGCCGTGGCAGTGGGCGTTTTAGGAGAGTTGTTATGTATGTACGTGTATGTGCCACGATAGGTCAGGGGGTTCATGTTATCAGCTGTACATATATAATTGAGTTCGCCAGCTTATGTTTCATCACAGGCCATATTTATTCCGTCAGTGGTCGAGTAAGACTGATTTCCCCGATACTCCATGCTGGGTCTTAGAGGTAGTAAGCCCCTCGGTGATACCACCAATGCGGTTCCATAATAGCACACTCTCAGTAGATCGAGACAGATAGGATCCGCACAAAGACGCATGAAAGTATTGTAGGGCAAAGTATCGTAAGGCGATTGGCCCAGGCTCTCATCAGTATCATACATTTGACTGATGCTTGGAGAAGGAAGAATCCTCTCGGGGCCATTGATACAGCTCGTCCCGGGCCTTATCCCCGAAATGTGCAACCACCATCGCGAATGCGCAAAGTGTGAACTAAGCAACTCAATGGGGTGTATACAAAGAAGACTGGAATGGCCGACTCTTTCCAGCCTCCATCGCCGGTACGGTTTGCAATCAAATCAGCGGTGGCAGGTTTACAGGGTCTTTGGACATTCGTGCCGGAGCCGGCCCCACTCCGGTCCGGGAACGTCTCGCGGGCGCCGGGATGCCGGCCCCACCTTTCCGGACTGGCCTAGCCAGGCACTGCGTGGGCTTAAGCCACGCAGTCTGACGCCCACGCAGTTACATCGCTCCCTGTTTGTTTGTTTCCTACCTCAGTTTTCCATCCCCAAGAAACACAGTTATCCACCGTTCCGCTCTTCCTGTATTCCACAGAACGAAACAAGTTTTCGGGCGGCAAAGTCGGGGTTACAATTAAACCGGGCATATTGGTTTGGAGGCAGTCGACTTGCATGGAGGCAGTCGACTTGCATGGAGGCAGTCGACTTGCATGGAGGCAGTCGGCTTGCATGGAAGTGATCGACTTGCATGGCCACGGCCCAATCACGGTCGAGGCGAGGAAGCCTTACGGCATGGGAACTGCACATCGACACCCTCCACCCTCCATGCTGCAGCTCTGCAGCCTCTTGCGTGGGGTGGATGCAGCCAAGAACAAAGAGGCTGTCATCTGCGCTGAGGGTCGAGGGCTACTTAAAGTCACATTTTCCCGCCCAAGCTCTTGAATTCGGGCACACCAAAACACACAACAATCAGTCTGCAGCGACAGGCCGGTCAGCCGTGCAGACCGGCCACGCTCTCCAGTCCGTCTTCCCCGTCCCTTCTTTAGGTTTCACCACCGCTTACATGTGTTGCATCTCTAGGGAGGTTTCAAATTTTAATCGTTCGCCCGCGGGGGCATTCCCAGCCCCCGCTAAGTCAGCCACATTCCGTGGCAATGGGTTGGTAATCACAACGAAGAACTTCTTCATGGCCATGGTGCGCTTCCTTTTCTGGGATTCGTCCAAGACGGTGCAATTTTAGCTCCGGGACACTCCGCCTTGACATTTCCGGCCCATGGCCAGGAAGAAGTTCTTGTTATCGATTGCTTTGGGGGGGAATTGGAGGGTAGTGGGACCTTGGGAAGATTTCGAGATCTTCTCCGGTTCGACGATCTATCACACGTCGAACCGGTCGTTAGTTATCCAAGTTTTTCGGCCGACCTTTCGGCACCTTTTAATGCGCTGCCGCCACATCCCAACGAGGCTTTCGACGCGAGCTTCGCCCTCGCACTCGGGCAGTCGGCCTCGCCTCTGACCAACACTTTGACTTCCGCCTGGCCTGGGGTGTCTTATCCCACTCAGCCTTGTCCACCATCCAGTCTGGTTCCCGCAGCAGCGGTTCCGCTTCCTGCTGTACCCGTTCAAGCGCTGTCACCTGGTTTTCCCTCCGCAATCGACCACAGGTGCAACTTTCAGCAGACAACCTTCAACGGGTCGCCATTGGACGATTGGATCGACTTCAACAACGTCCAGGCGATGGCCAGTTCAAATGAGGCCATCTTGAACGGAGATCAGCTCGCCCGCGGTCTGCAGCTGTGGCATCACTCATCGACCTCAGTGCCGTCCAGTCCAACATCTGGCACCGGTTCCACGCCACACTCAGTCAGCCACGCCACTTCCAGTCTGGCTTCGTCGAACTGCGGCAGCAGCCCGAGGTCAATGGACCAGACCAACTCGAAGCCAAGTATGAGGGACTCATTTTCCTGTCGCCGGTGCCCGAAGAAATTTAGCAACCAGGTGAAACGCAACCGCCACGAGCGGCTGCATGAAAAGAAATTCCGCTGTTCTATTCCTGGGTGCGATCAACGATTTTCTACGGCATCGGACTTGAAAAGGCACCTAGACACCTTGGCACACGGGGGGAAGAAAAGATTCCAGTGCTCGAGGTGCCAGATGCGATACAGCCGAAGGGATAACTTACAACGACATGAGAGCGAGGCTCACAACGTGAGCTAGCTCCAGAAGCGAGGGCAATTAGCCCTCGACTCTAAGAATGGGAATGGAAACTGCCCGCGGCCCCGTTCGAACATTGCCCGACCGGGCCCGCGAGTAGTAGCGTCGCCGGCGTCCCCGATCCTCTATACCCTTCCGCCCCCCAAGCCTAACCTCTCAGTGACCCCAGATACCACCCATTCCCGACTTCGCTCCTGACCTCCGATCTACCACAACGAAAACCGATAGTATCTGGGGCCACTAGAGATTTTGTCTGCGGGGCGGAATGGTATAGAGGATGGAGCCCGCCGGCGACATTACCGGTTCGCGGGCCCGGTCGGGCAATGCCCGAACGGGGCCGCGAAAAGGCTTCGATCTCATTGAGGAAGGTTCCTATCAAAAGTCGGGAGGAACCGACTAGCTATCCTGTATCTAAATACGGGCTTAGTTTAATGAGCAAGGTGTATTAGAAACTTGTGCGCTCGTTTATTTGGTATTACGGCCTCGGACTATCACTGGCCTACCAAGAACCTCGCGATTGTACATGTACACGATGGAAAAGTTATACACACATCTGACAGCCACTCCATGCTCATCCATCCATCCATCCACCCCCCCACAAACATTAAATGCCGACCAAACCAAACCACCAGACCTCTCCAGCACAACCCATCAAACCAACGTCTCATTCCACGGCCGCCAACTCTGGTCATTAAACGTCGGCATACACTTGACCAAATCCGGCGGTGGCAACCACTCCACCGGCGTCTCCTCCCCCGTCTCCCTCGCTACCACCTCCGCCGTAAACCCCTTCAACCTCTTCACCGCCTCCCCCGCCCCCTCCTCATACTCCAAACTCACACTCGGCACCACCATAATCCTCCCCCACCCCTCCCACCACAAATCCTTACAAAACAACTGCGGCTCTCCCTGCTGACACTCCCCCTTTTCCCTCCGCCCCCCCCGAAACCCCACCCTCCCCTCCACCACCGGCGCCGCACGTCCCCACCACCGGCCCCATTCCAACAAAGCAAACACCTGAAACGGCTGCTTTCCCCGCCTCATACCGCCCTTTCGCAACGGGCTCGTTCCAAAACCAGATCCCCCGCACGTGACCAACTGACCGGGTGTCGGGCGGCACGTCGGAAGAACAAATCGCCCGTTGGGCGGCGCGCGCCCACGTACACGTCGTAGAAGACGGGGGTCGTGGCGTGCCGGTCCTGTGGAGCGCGCAGATCAGGTCGTATGGATGGTGGTGTTCTTGGTTGAGGAGCTCGAGGAGGTGGTCAGCGCAGAGAGCCACGTAGTCGATGAAGCCGATGATGGCCGTGGGGTTGGTGGTGAGGGGGGCCAGGGCGAGGTTGCGCAGGTGGGCGAGGGTGGTGAAGCGGTCGGCGCCGGAGGCGAGGGGGTCGGCCGGGGGTGTGGAGGGTGAAGAAGGTGCGGATGGAGAGAGTGATGAGCGTGGGTTCGAGGGCGGCGAGGAGCTCGGCGAGTGCCGTCGGGGGAGTTGCCTTCTACGATGGAGAGCGCGCAGTGCGAGGGGCCGAGGAAGCGGATGGCTTCGAGGATGCTGCTGAGGAGGCGGGGGAGGATGGGGAGGCAGTTGCGGAGGTTGAGCGCGAAGAAGTAGTGGATGGGTGGGTCGGATGATGAGGTGGTGGAGGAGGAAGGGTTGATTTTGAGGTGTTCATATCGGGATGCGTTGAAAGGCGGGCATTTGAGCTTGGGGAGGTCAGGGTTGAGGTTGGGGTCGAGGATGGCTTGGATATGTGCCGTCAAGTTCTCGCGTGTAAGTTTTGCTGACGAATTTAGTCAGGAACCGGGTGATCTAGCGCATATGCACATACGCATACAGGGACGGATACACGTACCATCTGGTGATACCGGGTAGGACCCGAGGTCGACGCTCTCAACCCGCGTCAGTGGCCATGCGCTGAAGTGAATGTGACACAGAACATAAAGGGAAGCAAACGACAAAACCGCAACCTGGGCAAAAATGATCAATCTTCGGCGAGCCATTTTACAGTCACACCTTGATGTCAGAATATGGTGCGGTACCGGGGACGGACCGACCCCAAAGCCGGCACTGAGGCGGGCTTCGCCTAGCGCAGTGATGAATGGAGGCTGGAGAAGTTCAACTCAGAGCTCGTTTCGCCAAGGTGGGAGGCGGTTAATTGTGCCGGCTACGCGCCAATAAACAGGGGTGTCGTTGGGGGCCGAAGAGCGCTCAAGGTTACACAGTACGAAGAGATCCCGGCTTACTTGAAATAACAGCTATTAACAGGCGCCTCTTTTGGCCTTGAGGCACTGTGTGGATGATACAAGGGCACCTGCACCGCGGCGGCACGGCCTCCCCTTCCACTTTGCTGCTGCGACGCGGGCTAGTCGACATGCCTCTGGGGGAACGAAGATTGCCGCCAGCAATGCGCTTCAAAATGGGGCCGTTCCCAGTTCGAGGATCTCCCCGAGGGCTAAGCCGACCAAGCCGATACATGTATATTCCCCAAGACCAGCGCCGTCAAGTTTCAACTCCGTCTTGCCGGCGGCCGGCTGACCGTCCCCAGCCCCTATTGAAAGACACTTTTTTTTCTTCTTTGTTTTTAATACGGCCCAATGCGTCTCTTGATTTTCTCGCTCGTGGCAGGCTCTCTCAATTCTATCAAGCTGGTACACGCCCTGGCACTCATCACCCCAGCGCCCCCTTTACCCACGACGCCCCCTGCCCAGCGCAGAGACACCGGCCCGGGGACTTCCACTTGTGGCTTCCTCGAGGGCGATCCATCAAAGCCCTTCGTTGCGCCTCAAGGCTTTAATTGCCGGCTCGACACATTGAACGGTATCTGGGGGGTCTGCCCAGTAGACGCGGAGATAGACACGCGATGCGGACTCGGCGCGTATTGCTTCGATGCCGGGCCATGCAGTACCGGATGTGGTCGCCCGAGCTTGAGTAATAATTTAAAGGTCACAACACGGACATGGTAAGTTGCAAGGGCGTCCACCTCTACAGTCTACGTCGCTCACACGTTGCTCAACCGCAGTTCGGGGAGAGATGGTAACGCAAGCGCCAAGTTCTGCTCGATGGCAGTGTTAATCGTTAACCCTGGCCTGTCCTTTGACTACATCGATTGTGCTCAAAGCCCGGGGGAAGCGACGTATTTCCTTACAGCCACGGCCTTTCTAGATGCGAGCGCGGTTATACCTTCGCCATCATCATCATCACCACCACCATCATCATCCTTAGCATCATCGTCCTCAGCATCATCACAGTCATCATCACAGCCATCATCATTATCGCCTTCTTCACCATCACGATCTGTCCCATCCACGGTGCTGTCGACCACGAATTCGTCACCTCTATCTGAGACCCCTCCCCCTACTCCCGGTCTTAACAGCGGCAACGGAGGGGATGGCGGAAGCAGCACCAACAATACCGGGGCGATTGTCGGAGGGGTATTGGGTGGTCTAGCGCTCGTGCTCGGTTCTGCCGTTGCCCTGGTGTATCTGCTCAAGCATAGCCGTGGTCGACGCGCCGAACATCAAGCGGATGAGGGAATGGACAGTTCATCGGAAACTGGCGGGAAACATGCAAGCGGGGGATGGGGGCCAAGCGAGTTGGGGGACAGTCGGTCAATACCAAGGGAATTGGACAGCCGATTAGTACCAGGGGAGCTACCAGCAGGCCACACAGTGGCACGGCCAGCTGTTCCCCCGGTAGAATTACCTGCGACCCCCGTGTTGCACGAGATATAACAGCAAGTTACGACATTCTATACCGAAGACACCACAATAACACCCCAATGGCAAGGTGAAACATACTTGGGTAATCAATCATCACCAGTTCTGCAGCGTGAGAAATTGATACGGCCCGATACGACGAGGTGTCAACAAGGAAGTTGGAATTTACACGGCTAGGCTATGGCATGATGCTCAAAGAGTCGAAAGCGAGAAAAGTCCAATCGTGCCCCCTCACCTCTTACATATACCCGGTCTTCCGGGCGCGAACTCGTGGAAGTCCTGTGCTTCAAAAAACACTTCGTCTCATATGATCCATACGTCAAACCTGCAATGGCAAAAGCCCCCTGGAGCTCTGAAAATCGCCCTATCCTTGCAGGGTTAAGGCGCAGACACCCCGTCTTGGGGATGTTTGGGCGGGCACCAATGACGGGCTGTGGTTTGAGACCCTGTCCCCTCCTCGTGACTGTCCTAGCTGAGCCAGCATATGCACGCTTGGCTCAGTTCAGCTACCGGCGGGGAGGCATGGCGGCTTTGCTTGAAGTATAAACAAACCTCTTGCCGCCAGTCGACTCTGACTTACTCCCTCCCAATCAATTAGTCTTCCTTGACCTCCATCACTGCTCACCTCATCGTAGCCAAATTGAAGGTACCTCCTGTTCATCATGTCAGGACACGGCCAGGGGGCCGAGTCGGCGCCGCTCCTCCCACGCATAAACGGGATCGCGCACGAAGGGGAAAGCGGCCGCAGTGGCTTCCACCCTCGCCACTTTTTCTCGGTACTATGGCGTAGCTCCAGCCAGATTTCAATGCTTGTCAACATCCTTTGGCCCTTTGTCCCCGTCACCATCATCCTACATTTCGTCACCGACGCTCCATTATGGACCTTCGCGACAAGCTACATCGGCATGGTACCCGCAGCCAACCTGCTCGGTTTCGCCGGACAGGAATTCGCGCGCAAGATGCCCAAGGTAGCCGGCATCCTGATCGAAACCACATTCGGCTCCATCGTCGAGATCATCCTCTTCATCGTGCTCATCGCCAACCACCACGACACCTCCCAGGGCGGCGGCGGCGGCAGCGACGACGGCAACCTAATCCCCGTCATCCAAGCGGCCATCCTCGGGTCCATCCTCACCAACCTGCTGCTCTGCCTCGGCCTGTGCTTCTTCTTCGGCGGCCTGCGCCACGCCAGCCAAAAGTTCCACGCCATCGTCTCCGAGGTCGGCAGCGGCCTGCTGCTGGTCGCCGCTTTTGCGCTGCTCATCCCCAGTGCCTTTTACTCGGCTCTCAAGTCTGAGGCCGCGCCGGATCCTGACCAGCCGCTGCTAGGCGCGCTGCATGAGACGTTCACGCGGGGCAAGCTGCAGACGGATGTCCTGCAGATCAGCCGGGCGGCGTCGATTGCGCTGATGGCGGCGTTTGCGCTGTATATCTGGTTTTGTGCGAGCAGCCAGCACAGTATTTTTGATGAGGTTATTGAAATGGATGAGCATCGTGATGCGGACCGCGAGGAGGACTTGCAGAAGCCCAAGTTTACCATGACTGAGGCTTTGGTTGCGCTCGCCGTGTCGCTTGTCTGCGTGACGTTTCTTTTGATCTTGCTGGTTGGTGAGATTGAGCATGTTGTGAAGAGTGGTGTGCCGGATCAGTTTCTGGGTTTGATCTTGTTGCCGCTGGTAGAAAAGGCGGCCGAGCATCTGACTGCTATTGATGAAGCCAGGGGTGAGTATTCAATTTGTCGCCCTTTCTTCATTGCAGTCTCGTTAACTCCCTTCTCATTTAGATGGCATGATCAACGTTGCGCTTTATCATTGCCTCGGGCCGTCCATCCAGACAGCTCTTTTCAACGCCCCCCTAGCTGTCATTATCGCATGGATCATGGGCAAACCCTTGGACCTCAACTTTGAGATCTTCATGGTTGGCCTTCTCGTCTTGTCGATTCTGGTGGTCGGAAACTTCCTCCGCGACGGAGAATCGAATTGGCTTGAGGGCGCACTCCTCGTGGTACGTATCATGGCCACTCCCTTCCATTCCGAGGCACCCGTGGCACACGATTTTGGATCAAGAAACTGACCGAATATCAGGTCGTCTACATCATCATTGCCATCGCATGCTGGTACTACCCGGATCCCGAGGTTGCAACCTCGAACAGTTTGGAAGGATCCGGCCTGGTAAAGGTCACCATGACCAGAGATGCACTTGAGCAACTTCAACAGCTTATCAAAGCGGGATTGGAACAGTGAAGAATGGCTCAACCAAAGTATCGGAAGCTGTAATACGGGGAAGCAGTGTGTTAATGGGACCCCTGCCTGGTCGTTCTGCACAAGTTCAAGCTATAGGGGTTAAGAGCCAGGGGACAGGGGCAGGCGATCGATTTCGGTTTACCGAAGCTGGTGATTTCAGAGATCCCTCTCCTTGCAAGAATCGTACTGAGCTTTTCAGTAAAGATAACCGCCGTGGTGAAACCGAACCCACCTACTTAATCGGTCTGGGCACGTAGAATCGGCCTTTGCTGCAGCCACCGGGCCGTAACGGGATGGAAGGGGGTCAGAATCAGGGTGTGACACGGGAGGCCCACACCACTATCACATCGGCGCGATCATCGCGGCGCAGCAGCGCTTAATTGCCTGCCGATGCGACGTTGCTTCAACTTGCTTGTCTTTCATCGATGCGTAAATATCATGATCCATCCATTATTTGTACCTCCAACTCGTTCTTTGCCCGTGGTTATGGGAATTCTTGGAATCAACGATGACCTCAGATGGAAACCAACAAACAACCGCATGTTTGTTAACTTGAAACGCGCCTTCAATGCTGCCTGATTTATTCCGGAGCATGCTTTTGAAGGACGCTACAGCGCGTCCCAATCCCCGCGCAACTCGATCGTTAAACCTCCTAATTACCACTCCTTACGATGAGGCGGCCTTCCCTCCTCATTTGGCCGACAGCATGCCTGCTACTCGTGGCCATCACTCTCTATGTTCGCCGTGATCGGTTCACTGGGACTCACTTTTCACCAACCGACCGTTTACAACCACACGTGGGAGGCAAACATTCATCGACACAAACCGGGAGTTTGCCCACCGCGACCAGTTCAGGACCGCGTGAGTCAGGGCATTACATCGTCACGCACATGATCTAACCTTGGGTCCTTGGCCAACAGTTGCCCTACCGTTGGGAACCACGGCGTTATATGTAAAGTCTATTATGAACACAGACAGCACCGCTCTCCCTCGCCTGGAATGCCCAAAGTTTGAGCTTTCGCGATACCAGCAGCTGCAAATACATGTCACCGACAACGACGCCCGCGAAGCCACAATTCGGTACTTCTTCGCTCTGAACCTCCGCCAATGTGTCAAACTTCTCCCGCGGCTCATCGGGAGTGTGGTCGAAGCCATGCGGTTCCTAGGCCCCAGACACTGCGCCCTCTCCATCGTCGAGGGCAACTCAAACGACGGCACGGGCGAGGTCCTAGCCGCGCTGCGCCCGGAGCTCGAGGCCCTCGGCATCACCTACTACTTCAGCACAACAACCATCAACCCCAAAAAAGGCGACCGCATCGCCGCCCTCGCCCAACTGCGCAACCTCGCCCTCCAACCCCTCCTCGACGCCACCGACACCGACAACCCTAACCAACAACCCATTCCCCCCACCTACAACCCCGCCACCACCACCATAATCTTCCTCAACGACGTGGCCATCTGCCCGGACGACATCCTCGAACTAACCTTACAACACAGCACTCTCAACGCCGACATGGTCTGCGCCATGGACTGGACCTACGTGGGGCGCGACCCGACCTTCTACGACGTGTGGATCGCGCGGTCGCTCGCGGGGGGCGACTCCTTCTTTGAGATCCCGCCCGACGGCAACTGGAACTCCGCGTGGAACCTGTTCTGGAACGATCCCGTGGCGCGCGGCCGCTTCGCAGTGCGGCAGCCGTTTCAGGTGTTTTCGTGCTGGAATGGGGCGGCCGTGTTTAGGGCGGCGCCGGTGCTGGAGGGGGGCGTGAGGTTTAGGAGGGCGAGGAAGGGGGAGTGTCATCAGGGGGAGCCGGAGCTGTTTTGTAAGGATTTGTGGTTTGGGGGGTGGGGGAGGATTGCGGTGGTGCCGGTGGTGAATTTGGAGTATTCCGATGAGGGGGGGCGGAAGATCAAGGAGGCGAAGGGGTACGCGTCGAAGTGGGTGGGTGCGTCGGAGTGGAGGGATGAGGGGATTGAGTGGCAGGCTGAGCCGCCGGAGAAGGTCAAGTGTATGGCGAAGTATGATGATCAGTTCTTTGAGGCTTGGAATAAGACGCAGCCGGGGACTTGAGCCGGTGGTCGAAGAAGGTGTTTGGCGTTGGTACAAGGGTAATCAACACATTCAGTCAAGAATCTCGGCGAGCTATTTCAAGAGGCCGGCAGAGGATGGGATCATGGGGAGGAGCTGTGCTATCTACACACGCCTGCATGAATCCGAGACCGGGTTGAGCAAAGGATGGGTTGACTCAGCTTACTCCGGCCGCATCGGTTGAGAACTGCCGCGTTGCTCGGGGACACACGGCAAAACAAGGCTTGATGGAATGCCGTTGTTGGGTGGCAAAAGACAGGTCGCCGCGGACATCGAGGGGTTGCACTTGGGTCAGGAAGGGAGGGCGGGTTGAACCCTCTGTTGATGGGAAAAATGGGCTGTACTGGGGCCTTCACGAAGGCCACAAGAAGTAATGAATTAACAGGATAGGTGATTGGCAATATAGTGCTGTGGTTTAAGGAACTCGGACAACAGATATCGCTTGCCGCCGCTAGGTATGACCTGTTAATTGAAGCACTTCGCTTTTTGCTTATAGCGATGACGATCCATCAATCGGTAGATACATGGAGACTAAGTTTGTGCCCTGACTTGTTCCGGTGTTCTTTCCCTTTTTCCCCCTTTCCATGGCGATTTGTCTCGGGAATTAGATGACGGCACCTACATTCGGCGCTCAGCTTGCCACCGAAAGTCCTGCCAAGGTGGTGACAAATTAACCACTTCAAGTACCAGCGCAGGAGACAATAATGTCATCCCAAGGTGCATCTCCCAACGATGTGCCGGAGGCTAACTCTACCTCAGCCGTAGTCAACACACAGCCCTCGGGGCAAGCCAAGCCTTCAACCGCCAACACCTCTCAAACCCGAGCCTCAAATTTTCCCCAAATCCGAACCCGATACTCTTGCCGACGTCATCATCGCCAACCCTCTAACCACCAAACAGACAGCCGAAGCTCTCCGCGCGGGTGCGCGTCCAACAACCCACCACAACTGACACCAATCTCCTCCCATCACCATCACCATCCCCTTCCCCATCCTCATGCCCATTGTCCCCACCACCAACCCAAAACAGCCCCTCCTTCAATCCTCTTCTCTTCTTCCACAACACCTCCACCCCCACCCCCAAGCATCTAATCCATCACCCCCCTCCTTTCCCCCCCACCCCCTGAGGCACTGGACCCATATCCACGCCGGGTCCGGGGAAATACACCGCCCTTGTCCGGAATCCCAACTCCCAAAAACCGACGTTCGGGGGAAGGTCTGGAGGGTTGTGGTGAGGTAGACAGGCTCGAGTAGTTGGGGGTGAGGGGATCGAGAGGGGAGGTGGTGGAGCGGTGAAGGCGGTGGTGTTCGACTGGGTGAGGAATGCTGAGAGTGAAAGAGTTGGGTGGGGGTTTAGGATTTGGATGCGTGAAAGTGAAGGTTCATGAAGCCGTTGTTTGGTTGGTTTAAACATGGCATTAGGTATTAGATTACCGCCGAAATTCCGAACTTATATACATGAATATCTCCGGATAGCAGCCTATGCAAATCGCTCCGCCCCTTGTTTTGTTTCTGCTGCGAGTGTTGGCGCCGGTTGGGCGGGTAGCTCGCCGGGTGGCGCGTGCATGAACATGTGGTTCGGCAGCGGTTGTCCTTGCATCGACGGGGTGGAGACTGCCCCGAGGTTTTGGTATGGCCCCGGCACCTGGACGGCCCCGGGCCGTA